AAAAAAAAAAAAGGTGACTATGATTTTGTTTGGTTTTCTGTGTCTATGTTAGTATTTTATATAAAAAGATTAAAAGAGGATGACAGGATTCTTCATGGCAATATGCAAAATGCTTATGCTAGCACAACCTTTTTAAAAGGCAGAATACAAAATGCCTTTGCATTCTCCGACTTACCAAAACTATCTCTGTGGCAGAGGGTCATGGCTTTGCTCACGGCAGTGAGAAGGAAATTCCATCTTAGCTGGAAGCTGGCGGCCAATTTGATAAACTCCTCTTTGCTTCTGCTCGGCTATTGCATTTTTGTGAGAAAAGAGGCTGCGTTTATGATGAAATCAAGGAGCAGAGCGTGTTTTCAAATGCACACCTTTGTCACCACACACACAAGAAGCCAGAGAGAAGAGGAAGAGGGGATGGTGAGGTGGGAGGTGAGGCGGCTGCAGGCACCTGTCTGGTCTTGCTCCGTCCCTGGGGAGATGGCTCCAGGGCAGAACTCTTTCAAGTTGGTGGAGAGAGGGAAGGAGGTGAGAATTTTTTTTCTTAATAAAAAGGCAAATTTTAAAAAGAAACAACCATGAAACACTTCGGCCTCACTGAAGCCCACTTGGGACCCGCTGTGGACAGTGGCGGGGCTGGTGACAGCTGTACTGCATCTCGCGTCTGATTGTGAAAAAGGGCATCCCATAATAATCAAAAGTGATGGTGCTTTTTTGGGAACGCACAAAACTGGCCACTCCACTGTGTAACTGCTCTCGGGACTGGAAAGTCCCGGACCAAGACTCCAGCGGAGTGAGATCATCTGACAGCCGGAGTGGCACGGAAGTGGGCACCAGCAATGCTGCCACGTACAGACTAGAAAACTCCCTCCCTCTAGCTTGAGCCTTGGGCCACACTCCAAGTGGCCCACAGTGCACGCGCATGTTGACGTGATGCTCCGGGCCTCTCCTCATTCTCAGGCACATGCCTGTGGATGTGGACCCCACACCTACCCCCACTCCCGCTTAGCCACGTGTCTCTGAGGAAGAGAGGGAGGGGCTGGCTGGAGATGACACAATGTCCTTTCTCATCATTATTTCTCTTCCCTTCTGTCCCACTGAAAGCCCCTGACATGACACAGGGTTGGCCTGAGCTTTGGGGGTACTCGAAGTCCCTCCAGGTGGGGCCTGACTTGCACAAGGACGGTGAGAACGAACCATGTAAGCGACGTTAGACATTTTCCTCTGCTAGCAGACTGCCAGATGCAGACAACCGAAGCCATTAGTCATCTCCGACAAGCCCAAGGGTTTGCATTGTCATTGTCTGAGTGTTTTATTGACAATAGTCTGTTTTTAAAAAATCAGCTATGCTATTCTACAAAAACAAGCCCTTCAAAGGCCCGCACTAGCTTATCTGACATGCTGCATTTCGGAAGGCTGAAGATAGGACAATGGAGACTTGGGAAACACGTGGCCTGGTTTACCATGGAGGGTGGCAGGATTGGTATTAACGATCTCAGCAGGCTCATTCTGGTCAAAGTTGGAGGCAGGGAGAGTATTGAAAATATAGATAGATGATTGATAGCTGCTGTCAGTCTGATTATAGTCTTCAGCTAGCAGGAGGTCTCAAGACCAGCAAGAAGGAACAAAAATCATACAGAATCTGGCTCGGTGCCTGTAGCTCAGTGGGTGGGGTGCCAGCCATACACTGAGGCTGGCGGGTTTGAGCCTGGCCTGGGCCTGCTAAAGAACAATGACAACTGCAACCAGAAAATGGCCGGGGGTTGTGGCAGATACCTGTAGTCCCACCTATTTGGGAGGCTGCAGCAAGAGAATCACTTAAGCCCAAGAGTTTGAGGTTGCTGTGAGCTGTAATGCCACTGCACTCTACCGAGGGTGACATAATGAAACTCTGTCTCAAAAAAAAAAATCATACAGAATGGTATGATTATTTTCAATAAGCACAGAATGGAAACTGACACCTGCTGAAAACTGGACTGACTTCCCAGCTCCTTCCTGGGGCGTTTTCTGATTCAACTCCAGGAGGTTTAGGACCCCGAAGTCCCCTGCAGTCTTTGTGGTCTCAGTTATCATTCCTGCCCTTTTCCTTGACTGGGGGTTCAAGGACAGACAAGCGTCAGTGGGTGGGACAGGGGAACAGCAGCACCATGGGCAGAGACTGAGCACACACTGGGCTTCCAGCCGTGGCTCTCGAAGTCTTTGCCCTCCACACCAGCATCCTCCGTTCCTTCTTGCCCCATTTCCCACCGGCTCACTTCTGCTCTCTCGAATGCCTTATCTCCCTCTTGTATTTTAATCCTATACATGCTTTAAGTCCCACCTTCTCTTCTAGGCCTTTTCCAACCCCCTCAGCTTTGGAAAGCATGAAGTCTGAAGAGGCAGGACCCCAGCTGCCTTGTTTCTCTCTGGGTTTGAATCCACTGTGCGTCCACTGGAGCAAGGGGCCAAGGCTCTCAGATAGCACTCTCAGCTCTCCAAGGGACACTGCCCAGGTAGATGATGATGCAAACCCAACTGGGACCCCACTGAAGTGCTCCCAAGAGTCACATTGGCCAGAAGGACCAATCCACCCACATCTGCAACTGAATCATCTTTGAGCTTTTGAAATCAAGCCATATACTTTACTGGGATCCTTCTATAAAACGTGCAGTGCTGTTTTCCCAAGATAGATAGAAGCCTTCCCTTCTTCCACGCACGCTCTTGGGGAACATGCATGCATGTACACACACACACACAGTGTTATGTATCCCCAGTTTTCTGCTTTCCTTCAGAGGGAGAGTCCACCCCTTCCCCTCACACCCCTCTGATCAGAGCTTGGGTGAAACATTTTCATAGCCTCTGGCCATGAGCACTCAGGCTATAATTTAGTTAGGATGATCCACACCCACTTCTCTCCTTAAAAAAAGTTACAGTTTTGTACCTGGAAGACAAACGCCTGGAGATTTGAAGACAGACAGTTCAGGAATACACTGAGATCTGTTGATGTTCCCAGCAAAGAAATCAAACTGCTTAAGCCTACAAAGAAACAAAACCAAACAAGCGAATAGACCACGTGCACCCCGGCGGGATGTCTCTGGGCTTCTGCTTTGGGCACCCTAGGGGACCAAACTGAGCAGTAGTTCAGAGGGATTCCCGAGGCCTCTCACTCATTTTGAACACAAAAGGATGAGTTCTAAGGCTGGATTTGTCACCTCTGGGGGCATCTAGTTCAGTCATACTGCCATGCCTGTTAAGAGCTACCTCTGCCACTTGCTGAAGTAGAAAGAAATATTTTGAAATAACTACACCTTGCAATTATCAGACTCTGTCTTCAGATGAGTTCATTGGAAGATAGAGACATGACCTCACCTATCCTTGCCATTTTCATAAAAGGGTAAGTTTATTAGTGTCATTTAAGAGATGGCAGACATCAAAGCTGTTGGGGGATGTAAGTTCCCTGCCTGGGTTAGGCATTCAATTAGTTGGGAGCCCCAGTGAACACGTGTGAAACATGTGAAACTTCAGGTCTTAGGTCCTCCACCTGCACAGGGACCACAGAGAACAGCCTTTGGCCTTCCCACTTTTTGACTGTTTCTGCCTAATAAGCAGTCCAGAAAACCAAGTAGGTTGCCAGAGCCCCTGTTGAGGTTTGGTCAAGGTTCACAATGACCTCAAAGCACTTGCCCACCAGGTGTCAGCAGTAGCCCCCAATGTGCTATCTCCCTACAGAACTCTGCATTCTCCTGGAGGGACTCTCAAGGGTGCCCTGGGAGCACAGGATCCCTGGCCAGACCAGTGGGCAGTCTGGCAGGTACCCGGGAGGCCTCATGCTAGAGGCAAGAGCCGCAGTTTGGGTGGCCACCTGTGGTTTCTGGGGGAGCCAGTGCCCTGGGAGGGAGACTTTTTGGTTCCTACTAATCAGAATTGCTGTCATAGCTCTAAAGTCTGCTGGGTTAGGTGTTAACCCTTTAGTTACAAAAGGGGAAGGGAAGTGCCCTGGGGAGGATCTGGGATTTGGGTCAGCCCAGGTAAGAAACGCAGGGGACGCAGCAAGGGGCAAGACAGTTAAGGGGAATGAGCAGAAGTTACTTACCAACCAATAGGGACATATTTCAGTATTTTCATAACTGGTACAACCCTACCAAGGTCATCCCTACCCTCAGAGAGAGAGGATGGGATCATTTACAGGTGGTGCTTTTATATACAGGTGGGATCATTTACAGGTGGTGCTTTTATATACAGGTGGGATCATTTACAGGTGGTGAATCTCTGTATCCACCTAGTCATGAAATGAATGCTGAAGCACTACTATGTGCCAGCACTATGCCAGGTGGCCCAAGATGAAGGACACCTAGCTGACACTCTGAAGGAGCTCATGGGAACTAGACAGGCAGCTTTATACGCGGTGAGTGCACTAGGAGGGTTTATGCCCACAGAGGGAGAAGCTACTAGATCTTCCTTGGGCAGCCTGGCAGGGAGTTTTGCAAAGGGCATAAACAAGGGAGCCTGGCACCTTCCCAGGAACTGCCACGGGGGTGGGGGTGTGCCTAGAGATCGGCCTATTATCCATTATTTGGGACGGGGGTAATATCAATTCTGCACCTCTCCTGAAATAACTTCAGGTTCCCATAAGTACCCCTGCCCCAGGTATGTAACAACATACATAAGCCAGCAATCTCAGCTGTCTATGGAAAGGAGATTTTTTTTTCCTTGAAAAACAATTACAGTGAGTACACAGAGAATGGCAAGAAGATTCAGATGCCTCATGTCACTTGTTTGTAAAGTAACGAAATATGGTAAAAGCACCTTGTTAAAAACTTCATGTTGTTAAAATATGGAGCATATTGCAAGTACAAGTTGGATCTATCAGGTGTAGAACACAAATGTCTTAACATTTTAATTGGGTAAATGAGGTGAAGGCTATGTTAATTAGTAGGATGTAAGCTCTCCAATTTGTACAAATAATCAACACATTGACTCCCACAATGGCATAAATGTATTCATGATCTATGTTCAAACGACTTAATAAAAAAAATAGAGAAAATAAAATAAAATGATACGTGATGCTGCTAACAGGAGTGACAGTAGGGAGCTATCTCAATCCACTTCAGACATGGAAGAGAAACTTGAATCTATGCGTGTACAACTTAGAAGCAGAAATCAAAAAATACTTTCCCCGAAGGAGATACTCCAGGGAGAAATATCATCTAGAAACAATCATGCTCTTCTGTTGGTTCATTTACTCTAGAAGCCCGTGTGTTAGCACTGCTGCCCTGTCCGACCCTGGAGTAGGTCCTGGAAGTGCATGGTCACAGGGCATTCCTGTGCTGAGGTTCCCCACCCCCGGGCTGCAGATTGGTATTGGTCTGTGGCCTGTTAGGAACCAGGCCACACACCAGGAGGTAAGCGGCAAACAAATGAAGCTTTATCTGTATTTACAGCCGCTCCCCACCATCAGCGCCTGAGCTCCTCCTCTTGTCAGATCAAGGGGGTCTTAGATTTTCATAGGTGTGAATGCTACTGTAAACTGTACATGTGAGGGATCTAGGTTGCATGCTTTTTGTGAGAATCTAATGCCTGATGACCTGAGGTGGAGCGATAGAGTGATGTTAGCACTGGCTACAAATACAGACTATTACTAGCAGAGCGCTTTGCACAGAAGCCATAAAATCAATTGCTTGCAGACTCCTATCAAAACCATCCCTCTACCCCTGTGAAAAAAATCTTGTTCCATGAAATCTGCTCCTGGTGCCCAGGGGACCACTGCCTTAGGGCACTCATTGCCCCCTGCAGGAAGAGATATGTGAGCTGATAAACTAGAACATCTAAGAATGATAATATTCTACTTCTACTAAGAAATGCCTGAATTCGTTAGTGATGGCTGTGCTAGCGCCAAATGCAAAACAAACACTCCAATAAAGAAAGCGACAGAAGGAAGATTACATTTCATCTCCGAATTTTTCTCCAGTTCATCATCTTTGTTGCTTGGGTCACCCGCCAGAGCTTTCTTGGAAATATCCAAGGTGACCTGATGGAGAATGGTGTGCAGATCCGACTTCAAAATGCTGACTCTCCTGTTATTTTTCAATACCATTCTCATAGTCTAAAGAGGATGGGGAAACACAGTACTTAGTTAAATCTCATCATTGTACTTCTGCCTAATCCCCCTCTAAATTGCCAAGATCTTGTTGTTGTTGTTAACTATGGAGAAAGGAAAACGAATGTAGGTATTTCCCGTTAAAATGGAATCTTAAATGATAATTAAAATGTTAAAATTTCACACCCTCTGGAATTGCCTTTCTGGAAACCAGAATTTAGGAAGCCTTTTCTCCTAGGCGGATAGATATAGTCAGGGCTGACTGGGCATTGCTGCACCCCATTCTTTGCACCCCATTCAATATGCCTAAATTACTCTGGAGAGGAAAGTAGAAAGATTGATCATCTGTGGGGGAAGTGTAGGCATAGCATGGACTGACTCTGAGGGGGTGGCTGCAGAGGGCGTGGATTCAGAAAATGTCTGTCATTTTTTCTTGGGAGCCGTGGACAAATTTAGCCTGCATTAGCTGGCTTCCTAAGCTATCAAATGGGGACAATCTCATTCCTGATGTTTTCAGACTGGGTAAAATGAATGCCAGGTGGCCCTATACCGGTCCTAATAGTCTCCCCTCCTCCATTTTACAGAGGAGGATGCTGAGGGCAACTTTCCCAAGGCAGAGTGAGTGTAAAGACAGGGCCCAGAGCCAGGGCAGGTCCTAGAACACAACTTGCTGCTCAGGTTGGGCTGAGATGAAGGACCTGCCATAGGATCCTGCCAGACCAACTGAGTCCTGAATGTGAGAGCTCTGGAGAGCAGGACAGCCCAGGAAGACTCAAGCAGGTCACAGACCCTGAGAGCTCAGAGTCTGGGGAGGGCTTTGCACTGGAACAGTGGATGCCCAGCATGGGTTCAACCAAAAATCAGGCTGAGTGCCTCTAATGCAGGGACTGATCTGGAGCAGAGCAACAGTGCCCTGGATTTCAGAGCAGACTCCTGGTGGCTGGCAAGGCCCTTCCGTCTGCCCTCTACCCTCCAGATGGACAGAATCACCACCTTCTCTCAGGGGGTACTGGCAACTTTCACCTGTCACTTTAGGACACTGCCTTGTGCCCCCCTGCCTGCTTGGCTGAAACCTACCTTTGCCATGTTGGAAAGGTATGTCTTTCTTCTCAGTCTTTTGACAAACACAGTAACTTCTGTTAAGAACAATACACATGGCCATTATTGATAGTATAACTTCAAGTTCTTCGGTGCAACCGTGGGGAGGAGGGGCACACATGATTTGAATGGGAAGGCACAGCTGCTTGGCTGGTTAGATCTGGCAGGGGCTACTTGATTAAAATGTCCCCACATGCCAGAAAAACTAGGTAATCCGTGACAGGAGTGCCACCATGACCTGAATGTTTGTTTCCACCCCGTCCTCCTCTCCCCAGCCAAGTTCACATGTTGGAGCCTCACTCCCAAGGTATTGGGAAGTGAGGCCTTTGGGAGGTGACTAGGTTATGAGGGTACAGTCCTCACAAATGGGATGAGTGCCTTTATAAAAGGGACCCCAAAGAGATCCTTCACTCCTTCCGCTATGTGAGAATAAAGCAAAAAGACTATAAACCAAGAAGGAGGCCTTTACCAGAAACAGAATCTGCCAGCACCTTGATCTTGGACTTCCCAGCCTCCAGAACATGAGAAATAAGTTTCTATTGCTTACAAACTACCCAGTTTGTGTGTTTTGTTTTTTTTTTTGTAATAGTTAGATTACACTAAGATAGGTGCTCAAAGGAGCTTAGGGCTTTTGCCCATGAACTGTGAGCTCTCCCAGATTTCTCACCCCTGCAGCACTTTCCTGGCAAAATGATCAAAGGTAAAGAAAAGATGCATGGACAGGGGGTGCTTTTCTCCTGAATGTATCCATTCACTCATTTGACAAAAAAAAATTATTTTTTTGATACAGCATCTTACTTTGTCGCCCTTGGTAGAGTGCTGCGGCATCACAGCTCACAGCAACCTCAAACCCTTGGGCTTATGCGATTCTTTTACCTCAGCCTCCCATGTAGCTGGGACTACAGGTGCCTGCCACAATGCCTGACTATTTTTAGAGATGAGGTCTCGCTCTGACTCAGGCTGGTCTTGAACCTGTGAGCTCAGACAATCCACCTGCCTCGGCCTCCCACAGTGCTAGGATTATAGGCATGAGCCACCAAGCCCAGCCTCATTTGACAAATATTGAGGAGGACACTTATGCAGTGGTTGCTCAAAAAATGCTGGATATTTCCAAAATTGATGGATAGAGGACAGCCCCTCCCCCTTCAAGGAGTTCATCCTCCAAAGGATGGGTCACCACATATGAAAACACAACAAAAGTGTGAGTCCACAGGGGAGGAGAGAGGGAGCAGTTCCAGTAACATTGAACCCAGACTTTGAGATGTAGGTAGGAGATAGTCTGGGGGAGTAGGGGCCGGTTGGTGGGGGGAGAGGCAGCCCAAGTACAGAAAATGGCAGGAATAAAGTCCTTTTGAGGGGACCACTAGTCTTGTGTTGCTGGGGAGCACTACTGGGTCCTGAGGATCCTTGGGGAGATGGAGAGAGGGCCAGGGCCAGGGGCCAAACAGTGGGTGACTGCAGGCAAGGAAGAGAAGCCGGCTGCCTGGGTGGGGGGCCAGGAAAGGGGGCCATTAATCAAATTGCTATTTTTGAATGATCACTGGAGGTGAAGAGAGGTGTGGCCGGGGAGAGGCAGGAGACAGGATGATTAACTAGGAAGGTGCTCATGTAGCCAAGAGAGTGAGAGGGGGAGATGATGGCTTGAATTCAGGCAGGTGGTAAAGTGGCCACAGGGGTTCTGCTCCCCTTCTTTGAACCCCTTCACAGCACACTGGTGTTACTTTCACTCTGCAGCCCCCTCCCTGCTGCCTTCATGGCTGGCAGCCACACAGGCCCACTGCCCCACCCCTTCACCCCCAACCTGGCCCCACCAAAAATTTCCAGACGCAGCAAACTGGCTCAGGGAGCCCAGTGTGAGTACTGAACACGCCAGGGTGCAGGGGTGGGAAAGGGGGTGAAGGTTAGTCCCCTGCTGCAGGCACTTTGAGAAGACAAGAGCCCCACTTGCAGGCATCAGAGACAATAGCAGGAAGCGGGACTCACAGAAACGCGGGGGATAACAGGGCCCGACTTGGTGAGGGGAATGGCTTTGAGCTGGTACAGAAGGGGGCGACCCACGTGTGGAGGGGGAACCACACAAAGCTACAGGCCATGATGGGAGACCTCACACAGTTGCCAGGGAGAAGCGGGCACTCTAGGATGGCCAGCCACGGCACCCACATGGCAGGTGTGTGCTGGCCTTTGAGGGGTACAAAGAGGGCAGGTCTGCAGGGGCTGGGACCCACGGACAGAGTGGTTCAGGCTCCCCATGGGAAGCCACTGTGGCCTTGAGCAGACAAGTAGTCTGGTGGAAGCAGCATTTGGAGAACATGACCTCTCCGCCAGATGCACAGTGAGGAAGGCGGGGATGCGGGAAGACTTTCTAAGGAGGAAGGGACGGTCTCTACAAAGAGCACAGAGGTGGGACAGACACTGGAGTGACTGGCGCAGGGCAGGGCTGTCCCTTTCCTGACAGCTCCCATCAGGTGAGCTGATGCCTCTTTTCTGCATCTCTCACCCCCGGGACCTGTTAATAGTCCAAGTTATTATTCAGAAGGGGGAATAGATAAAAAAGGTGCAGTTGGATGGGCACCAGAATCCCCCATGGCACTGACTGTCAGAATCCCCGAGCAGCCAGGCCTTCAGACCAGGTTCAGTGCACACGGGGACAGGGATTCCAGCAGCCCACAGGCACTGCCTGGTGTGACAGTGCCATGCTTCATCTGCTGTTCCGGAATTGGTTTATTGTTTTCATTGAAACTTACCTTTGAGTTTGGAGATCTGTAAGAGGGCTGGAAAACCTTCCAAAGCATTAAGAAGCCACAGCTTAAACTTCTTACTAAATAACCGCACGGATTTCAGGTACTGAATAGAAACATCTTCCAGGAAGTCATGAAGGAGAATGTCCTCAATTCCCTACAACAAAGTGTCAAGACCCTGTGATTCTGCTGGCTGGGGTGGGTGGCCTCTGACTACAAGTGGCCAAGGCTCACACGTGCCCCAGGACAGGAGGGTCACCACTAGTCAGAGGGGAGGCCCCCACCTGGCCTGAGGGGGACTCCACACTGCACAGCTCAGCTCTGCTCATGGTGCAGGACGCCAGGCTGGTGTGGCCAGATTTGAATTTTCTCAAAGATTTAAAAGTAATTGATAACCGATTCCATTTAAAAAAAAAAAATGATGCTGTCCAATACTAGGTGGGTGAAAACTACATATATTTAAGGGCTTAACCCAGTCTTCAGTTTTCTATTCTCATGTTAAAGACTTAGATACACTAAGATGTTTCCTAAAACAAAATAATGAAAGGCAAAGTTTGTGACTCACTGAAGGAGATCACATTTCATTGATAGAGATCTCACCCTCCAAATATGATAATCACTCTAGAGATAGAGCTTTAAGCAAAGCAAGAGAGAAAATCCAGCAGTGATGTGTATTCTAAAGCAATTGTTCTGATTACTCATTCGAACATGTCTTCTCTTAGTGAAATTCCCAGAGAAAGAGCTTTGACTCAATTTGGGGGTTTCTGGGACTGGAATCCTAGGTCACTATGCACATGGGCTTTTGCTTTACAGGTAGTAATCCAGAAAGAAAAACTGAATGTGAAGCAGAGATCAAAGCCATCACATCCACTGTTCACTCCTCAGAGGACCCGCAGACTCTGGAAGTGGGGAGCGGGCTGCTGTCCCAGGCCCAGCATTTGCTGTAACTTATGGGAAAGGCTACACCCAGAGGCTCAGCGTCTTCTTACCTTGTACAGCTGTATGTCATAGCATTTAAAGAGCTGGCACACATCAGGTAGTGACATCAGCATAACCGTGTCTTGCTGCAGAGACTTCCAGAAGGAAGTAAGCAAGTCCCCCACCTGAAGGTAAATAGTAGAACAAATCAGCAAGGGTCACTTTGTGCCTCGTGAGATGGGTCCCCTGTGTGTATCTCACCAGCCCCAGATGGTAATGGGATGTGTTTTGTTCCAGTGAACATATACAAGCTGTATTTTGGAAACATTCCCTCCAGCAACCCACCGGAGACCACTGCCAGTTAGATGGGACAATTCAGAACGTGTTTTCTTGAGGCAGTTTTCTAGAAGGAAGCTCTTTCTGACCACAAGGGGGCCCCAGTTGACTACAATAGGGTCAGGATTCAGCCCCAGGGCACAGCCAAGACTGGAAATGTTCAATGACTGGCTAACTGACCACCTCGGCCATTTTTTTTTTTTTTTTTTTTAGCTCAGAGAGAGGTGTAACAGTACTTAATCTAAAAATTTTTTTAAAATATCAAATTAGAAGTCATCTAACAACTGTGTAAGCAGAAGGGCACAGTGTCATTCTACATCGGTGCCTTTTCTAAAGACTTATGTGGACAATTTTGTGGAGGGAACAAGATGGCAGCTTCCTCTCTTGGTTTTTCCCCACAATGACTTTGCAGATTTTGTTCTTGAATCAGATGGCCAATCGGAGATGTCAGCCAATGAAGACTCTTGCCTCTTGCAGGCTTAGATTCTGAGGCATCATAACCCTGTTATATCTCCCCTGACACAAGGATCAACCAGCGCTAGTCCCATGGGTAGGCTGTCACCACCCCCTCACTGCCCTCTCAATCAGAATCTCCCTGGGGCACTGGAGGCTCTCTCTGGTGCCAGCGTACCTTCCTATCTCACCACTGGCTTCTTTCCTTCAGAGATGATAAAATCTAGTCATAGTGACCTTTCTGTTACGCCATACCCAGGAGCATCTTGCTGGCCTTGACAGCACTGCAGGTTCCCCCTGGAATCTCTTTCCTACCCTGTTTTCTGTCTGCACAGTCGCCCCTCTGCCCCTCTCACTACAGTCCACAGAAGCATAGCCTGCCTTGGGAGCACTCCTCAGCCTTCTCTGCTGCTGGCACCATGAGTATTCTGATTATGGCTATTCTAGAACTTGCCACATGTGTCACATTTATTGGTTGATATTGCTCCTTTTATCATCAGACTACAACTTCTCGAGCCCTTTGGAGAATAATTTCCTAGTCCTGGTAATGGTGTCAGTTACCAGGTATAAATTAAATATTTGATGAGTAAGTGAAGGAGGAAAGGAATGTGTCAGAAGTCCGGTGTGGATGGGTGCTTATAACACTGCCTCAACGTGATGGGGCCTGTTCTGAGGACATCTTGGTCTTGGCCTCACTGTGATGCTTTACATCAAGTAGGTACTAAATTTGTGTTGAATGAATATTATCTCTCAGAGTTGAAGTGCTTAGAATCCTAAAGCATCAGAAAAACTTTCATTGGAAGGAGCTTGTGTTTCCTTGGATTTTCATCTCTACTGCAGAAGATGAAATCCAGAATAGTCGAAAGATTTATTCATGTTTTCCATGAGGACTTCTAGAACAAAATCCAATCATTACAATACCCATGCCAGGTCACTTGGCTTCAAAGTTCTGCTTCTCTTTCAGTTAGCATGTACCAATAAAATGGCTCTTTGGCATTATTGAAAATCCCAGGATAAATAATATTCCCAATATGTTATTCATAATCAGCTGAAATTAGGATGTAAAAAATAGTGGAATTTGTGTTTAAAGCATAAAGTTATCCACATTAGTACCTTAGAGAATTCCCAGTGATTGCATTGACTATCAAGGCCACCTTCAAGACCTCATTAACTACAAAATAAGTCCATTCTAAGTAATTCAGCGCAATGCGTTATCACGAGAGATCCCTTGAGGGGTCTATTCAAATACAATGGTTAACCAATAATGAGTCATAAGTGCTTATGTTTTTGGCCAGAGCTAGGTTTGAACCCACCACCTTCGGCATATGGGCCCAGCACCTTACTCCTTTGAGCCACAGGCGCCGCCCCAAGTGCTTATGTTTTATAGATAAAAACCTACCCTCTCAAGTTCTTGATTCCTCACGTTTTGTAAAATGTCTTGACAATAGTTGCAGTATTCATCCGCAAGAAAGGTCATCTAGGGAGGAAAGGAAATTTATCTCGGCCTTCAAGCCACTTCAAAAATGAACTGATTCTCAAAGACCTTTCTGAAGCTCTGAGAGGCTGCTCTTGTTGCAATTCTGATAAGACAGTAGCTGGGCTCTTCTCTTGGGTTACAGTACTTTTTGGTTTCTATGGAGTCATGCATACCTACTGCTCTATAGATTTAACCACACTATCACAACTCATAGTACATTTCCCAGGTTCGTTCCACCACTACACAGCCATGCACCTTTAAGACCTTTCTCTCTACACTCCATTCATTCTCCCCGCCTTCACATCTGCCCACCCCGGTTTCTAGGAAACCCATGTCTACTCCCTTCTCTGTCAGGGAGGAAGCAGGCTGTGAGGGGAAGGCCCAAACTTTCTCCCCACCACCAAGCAAGCGGGAGTGATGGGCCTCACGGGTTTGGAAAAAGGCCAATATTACTCCATGGGACACAACCGTGACTACGGGCAAAATAAGAAGATAGTGACTGCGTGCTCTCCCCCTCCGAGTGCAAACCTACCATTTTGCAGGAATACTTCTTTGCCAGCTCTTGCTCCCAAAATGGACATCTCCTGAATTCAGACAAGGGGGATCCAACTGGGTCTGTCTTTACTGGTGAATGATCCTCACACTAGAAATCATTTACACAGTGGATTATTTCTTTAAAATAAAATGCATTTTTCTAGTACATAAACCATGTAATAATCACATCAATACTATATTTTAGTGTTCTGTGTAACCTTTTATCCATTTCTCTGAACACATTGATTCTAGCTACGTTTCCCTCATATTTTATTCCAAATGATGTTAACCTTTGTCTGTAATTCTATGAATGATGGCTGTCAGGGAGGGGTGGGGATTTAATATACGACCCAAACATGTCACTCTTGGAGTTATATATTTACAAGTGCTATATAGCAATGCATAGTAAAAATGTTCTCCATGAATAATTGCATATCGCACATATATTTCTATAAGCCTTGTGCATATAATTGTCCCTCCTTGAAATAAAACCATATCTTAAGCCAGGTGCATTGGCTCACACCTGGAATCTTAGTACTCTGGGAGGCAAAGTTGGGAGCTCACTCCTTGGGCTCAGAAGTTTGAGACCAGCCTGAGCAAGAATGAGACCCCATCTCTTAAAAACAAACAAACAAATCTTGTCTGGATCATCACACCTGTATTATAAAAATGGCTCGTTCTATCTGAAACCTCACGTTCAACTCTGAGCTAGCCTCTCATACCGCAAAACCCCAGCTGCATCTATTTTCCCCAGAGCACATCCCAGCCTCCTGGTTACAGCAATGCTATTCAGATGCCACTGCTTCTACTTCCAAATTCAGTGTCTCTCAAAGTGTGGTCCTGAAGCTAGCCACATCAGGATCCCTTGGGGTGCCTGGGGTCCATGATCCTAGACCCCAGGTAAATCAGATGAGACAGAAATCTAGAATTGTAACCAGCATCCCAAATGCACCTTCTGTGAGCTCACAATGAGAACTGCAGCTCCGGGTGCCCTGTTCTCTGTCTAATGCTACATGAGTCTCTACATGTCAGTATGGTAAGTGCAATCCAGTTTCACCGTTTCAGAAAAAGCCATCTGACGTGGGGTATCAGGATAACCAGCTCATGATTACAAGGAGCGTATAACAGCGTGTTCTTACAAAGCATCCTCAAAAGCAAAGCCATGAGTTCCTGAAGCCAACTCCCTTAGGTCTCTTCCTCCATAGAAATTTCTCACAGGCCTGATCCTGAAAAGAGCTAGTCTTTCATAAAAGATACGTTTAACATTTTTTTGCTACTTTTTTTTTATTGTTTGGGATTCATGGAGGGTACAAGGAACTAGGGGTTACACTGACTGCATTTGTTAGATAAAATCCTTCTTATAATTGTGTCCTGCCCCCCAGGGGTGTGTCACACACTGTGACTCCCCATCTCTCTCCCTCAACATAAAAAAGCAGAAACCTCAAGCAATAGGAGGGAGCAGAGCTACTAAAACTGGAATCCCTGGAGGAGACTGCCTGCAGGAGAAGCCACTGAGGAAGAAATCAGAGGGATTCGGTGCTGAAGAAACAAAGCAGCAAAATAAAAAGGCAGTGGAGAGAGGTTGGTGCATGTGGATGGGCAGGTGCACAGTCAGAGGGAGCAAGACCTGGTGTTCGATAGGTCAGGAGGGGCCGTAGTTAACAAAAGTCTATCGTACATTTCCAAGTAGCTAGGAGAGAATAATTCAGATGTTTCCAGCCTACAGATAAACGTTTAAGGTGATGGATATCCTAATTGATCATTATGCATCATTTGAATGAATCAGAATAATCCCGGAAATACATACATTTATTATGTATCAGTCAAAAAATACACCAACTTTTAAATACTGTATAATGACATGTACAAAAAGAGCTAAACATAAAAGGAAAAAGACAGATTAAAAAAGGGAGATATTCTGTTTAGATTCTCGAGGTATATTAAATGCAGTTTGAGACTTCAATAAATCCAAGAAATGTCACTGGCATTACATATTACCACTCATTTATGCAGTCTTTAGGGAGCGTGTGCGATGTTGTCGGCCCCTTGGGGTAAGATGAGGGGACACTGTTCCACTATTACCTGCCCCTTTAGGCACCATCTGCCTCCCCTCTGTTACTCCATCAATTCCCCTGAATGCCTTTGGTCCTTCCTGCATCCTTGAAGACACTGCTCCCAGAATTACCATACCCAAAGCAAATGTATCCTGAAGATGCCACCCTGGTGCCCAATAGCCTCTGGGTCAAATTCTCAGTCTAGCTGCAACTAGCTCTGTGCCCTCTGGACCTCTCCACTGATCTCACCCCAACACCCTGACACAAAGTCCCCACTGCCTGCATGCTTTGGTCATCACCTCCCAGCTCAAATGTAAGCTACATCCTCAAGAAGAATGCCCTCAGAGCCTAACGGAGGAGCCAGTGACCCCTCTGAGACCAGCTCCAGGGAAGTGTGACAGGCAGAATCACATCCATGTCCTAATACCCAGAACTTGTAAATATGTTATCTTATGTGGCAAAAGGTATTTTGCAGATGTGATTAAGGTTAAAGACTTTTTTTTTTTTTTTTGAGACAGAGTCTCAAGCTGTTGCCCTGGGTAGAGTGCTGTGGTGTCACAGTTCACAGCAACCTCCAACTCTTGGGCTTAAGCGATTCTCTTGCCTCACCCTCCCAAGTGGCTGGGACTACAGGTGCCTGCCACAACGCCCAGCTATTTTGTTGTTGTTGTTGTACTTGTTATTACAACTCACCCTAGCCACTGAGCTACAGACACTGATCTCACAAAAAAGGTTTTTAAAAGGTTTTCTGTTTAATGACATTTGTCAGTACGATGGTATCTGTTATGGACAGAATGTGTTTCCTCACATCCATATGTTAAAACCTTAATTTCATTTTGGTGATATGTGAGGCCTCTGGGAGGTAATTAAGTCATGAGGGCAGAGCCCTCAAGAATGGGATTAGTGCCCTTATAAGAGGTAAGAAAAGGCTATCTCATTTCCAGAAGTCAGTAGCTCACTCTCCGCCACATGAGACAGAATGAGAGGGTCCTCACAGAACCCCACCATGCTAGCATCCGAGACTTCCACTCTCCAGAACTGTGAGAAATAAATGTTTGTTGTTTAAGCTGCCCTGTCTGTAGTAATTTGTGACAGCAGCCTAAGCTAACACAGTATCAAAATACTATCACATCATCTTGGCCAGCTAAAGTAAAATCAATTCATGATGCAGTAGATTGGTTATTAATAGGCCAGTGTCCTAATTTAAAGAGCTATAATTGTAATAGAGAGACACTTTCAGACAAATTTATGGCCAACAGCCTATATATTCTTTTTCATTTTAGCTAAAGAAATTCAGTTAAGTTGCAAATCTGCAGCCAAACAGTATGTCCCTTGGGGACAGGGACCTGTCCCAGCACACAGTGTGGGAGATGGCAGATACTCATCAATCATGGTCAAATGGCTGAATAGTTAAGGGACACTCAGAGTAAGAACAGCACATACAGAAAAACAGTTGCATCTAATTAAGCAATTACTGAGTATGGCTAGCTCTATGATAATCAATCTATGTTATTCAACACTCACTGTTCCTTCTTGTTGGATAATGCTGCTATAATTAGTAGATTTTTCAAAGGCAACAAGATCTCCACTGTGAAAGAGCAGATAGCAGAGAAGTCATTTTAGTAAGATACCTGTCTCTGAACCCAAGGGTGATGTTTCTTTTGCAGCGAGGTTATTTGTTTGGGGTATAACTTTTATTAAAAAACCCTCCCCGAAGTTTGTAGCCACACACAGTAATTATCACATGTTTGGGGTTAAAAAAATCCATTTCTGTAACTGGGACAACCATGTGCTTATTTTTAAAGGTTCATTCCTTTCAGAAGCAAAGATATGATATCGTCGTGGGTAGAACTCCTATGGGAAAAGAAAAATCACCATGAAAATGAAATCTTATAACTTTCTGGTTTCAGTGCTTTTTCAATGATCAATCCAGAGACAACAATATCCTCTGAGTTGTTGGAGGTAGCAGAGCATGTCCCAGAATGAGGACACTGGTAATTAATAATAGAGATGTAATTTTCATTTCACTGTGCCTCTTGGATTTGGATGTGATAATGGAGAACAGAATCAGTCCTGCCCATGTAGTGTGATACATCTTTTCCTTAATTATGGGCCATTGAGAAACTGGGATCCCCAGGACTCGCCCCTGCACCAGAGAGTGTATATTCTCTGATGTTAGAGGTGGTGGTGTCTCCTCCCAGTCTTCCCTGTCAGCTCAGTTTGGGCAGACATGACCCAGGTGACTCCATCCACTCAGAGGCAACAAGTACATGTCTTTGCTTGTGATGGTTTTGGCTCTACGTAAACACAAAAGGAGTGGAAGAAGCCGGTGGACCTTTGCTCTGTGTCTGGAAGTAGGACAACGATGGTTCAGGTAGGGAAGGGGTGAGAGTCAGAGGGGAGGTGGAGAAAAATGGCTCTTAACTCTCATGGGAAGCATCTCCATCCCCAGCCAGACCCTTAACAGTCCCAGGGGGTCTCTTCTGAAAGTTTGCTATGTCAGTTCATTCTTCAAGTCACAGAAAAGTGGGCAGAATACTTGATACTCAGCTGATAGATGTTTGCAGATAATGCTCGATTTCAAAACACAGATTCATGTTCTGAATATGAACCTACCAGAAAGGCACTTTCTTCATCGTTTAACAAAGGTATTATCAAAACAGAAATTTTACTTTGGTCTTTCCAATGAAAAGAGGCTTTGAGGCCATGGGATCTATTCAACCTGGAAAGATGTATGTATAAATCCTGCACACGCACACAGGATGATGGGCAAGGTCAGGAGAGCCAAAGACAAAGCCTGTGAAGTGTCTCTTAGGTTCCATTTGTCATGTGTTACAGACTGAGTTGTGTTCTCCCTAAATTCATGTTGAAGCCCTAGATAGAGCCTAATGTGGTATATTGGGACACAGGATCTTTAAGGAGATAATTAAGGCTAAATGAGGTTAGAAGAGACGGTTCCTAATGCAGTAGGATGGGGGTCCATATGAGACGAGGAGGAGATGCCAGAGAAGTAACTCTGTCCCCAGAGGTGCACAAAGAAAAGACCACAGAGGACACAGCAAGAAGGCAGCTGACTGCAAGCGGGAAGAACCCTCGCCAGAAACCATACTTTTTTGGCACCTTGACCTTGGACTTGAAGCCTTCAGAATTATAAAAAATAAATTTCTGTTGTTTTTCATTTTTTTAGATGCCATGATTATTTGCATTTTATTGTTTTTTTAAAATTTCAGATTAACACGAGGGTACAAACGATTAGGTTACAGTATTTGCATTTGTCTGGGAAAGTCCCCCTGGTAGTGGAGACTTTCACCCCCTTATGTTGTGCCTGTTAGGTGAGAGCTTACCAGTCCCCTTCCTCTTCGCTTCGCTCCTCTCCCTCCTCCCAAGTTTCTGTTGTTTAAGCCATCCAGTCTGTGGTATTTTGTGATGAAAGCTCAAGCTCATGACACATCACATCTCAGTGTCTTGTGTAGGTATGACAATGATGGATTCTCCAGGTAAAACTTACAATCAGCCCATTTCCACACATTCGGGGACATTATAGCAACAAAAACAGTTTTACAATAAGTAAACCTGAAAATAAAATCTTTAGTGTAATAAGACATAGAAAATGTCAGAAATGAAGAGTCACTAAGTAAAGGGCTGATAGAAAAGAAATGTAATAACAAAAAACATGGTCATCCTTCTTTAGAGATGTCAGAGATGTGCAGCTTTCTTCAACTAAGTTAGAGGAAGAGGCCACCACCAGGCCAGGCCTGGTGGCTCACTTCTGAATCCTCGCACTCTGAGAGGCCAGAGTTGGGAGATCCCTTGAGTTCAGGAATAGGAGACCAGCCTGGGCAAGAGTGACACTTCATCTCTTCTAAAAATAGGAAAATAAGCTGGATGTTGTGGTGGGCGCCTGTAGTCTCAGCCACTCAGGAGGCTAAGGCAGGAAGATTACTTGAGCCCAGGAGTTTGAGGTGAGCTAGGCTGATGCCACGGTGCTCTACCCAGGGCAACAGAATGAGACTCTGCCTATAAAAAAAAAGAAAACATATATATACACACATACACATATATGTATATATATACACATACACACACATATGTATATTATAAATTAGAGGAAGAACGATTTCTCCGTAATTTCACATTGTGCCAACATGTACTCCTAATATGTTTCTTTGGGAAGTAAATGAAAGACTGAAGTAAGAGTACTCTCAGGTCCATCCATCCATCTATCCATTTCTCATCCATTCATTAATCATTTATTGAATGCCTACTACATACATGTCAGGCATTGTGCTAGACCTTGGTGGATACAGCTGTGATCCAGGGAGACAGGCCTATTTTCATAGAGGTTATAGCCTATAGAGGAGGAAAAATGTCATTCAAATAATTGTAAAGATGTTGATTGAGGGTTGTGACAGATGCAGTGTCAGGTGTTAGAAGAACATATGCCTGGGGCCATCTCATTCTCTTATTAATCCAAGTATCCATGTTCCTTTCAGCTGGCAGCTTGATAAGCTCAAGGGAGCGTTCTTTTCGACTAGTTAGCCTGATTTGGTTGGTGTTTATCACATCACCATACTTGGATGACCCTTATTAGGCAATTCTGATGGTGACACTGATCTTCATGAGTATCCTTTGGATGCTCAGAAACAGGAATTTGAAAGTCAGAATATTTGGGTTCAGACTTCAAGGAGCAACAAGGGACACCCTCAACTTTACCAGTTATCCTTCTCCCTCAATCCCCACCCTGGTAGCTTTGGAATAATGAATAATTCTCATTATAATTGAATAATGCTCTCACTTATTTTGAGTTCTTAAATGATACTGCTGAGTTTCTGCAAGTGTTCGATGTAGAATATGGGTTGAATTCAACAGCAGAGGAAAGGTGACCGGTGTTACCCTCCTTGTCTTTATAAGGAAAACCGTAGGGAACTAACTTGCCTGCCCCGCAAAGGCCCATCCTTGCTGGGGGAGCTATATGACTTTTTAGCATTTAATCGGGAGATTTTAAAATAATTAGCAGGAGAGAAAAAATATTTCAACCTCATGGAGAGATGTCGTCATCTACAAAAAATTCCCAACCTCCATTTAGGCAAAGGAGTGTCGAGACTGTCTCTTTCCACTGATGGATGTCCGAATTCAAGAGCACGGCTGATAACACAGGTCCAAGTGTAGCTTTAATGAGATCATATGTATTTATTTATTTCTCAGAATATTTTAGGGGCACAAATGTCTTCGTTACTGGATTATTTTGTATTCCTTGAGTCAAAGTTATAAGTATGCCCATCACCCAGATAGTGTACATTGTACCCCTTAGGTCTAATTTCACCTCCCCCTCACCTGCTTGATTTCCATTGAGTTTTACTTCCAGCTGGGCACTTGAGTGCTAATTGGTTAGTTCTAATTTAGTAGTGAGTATGTGTGGTGTTTGCTTTTTCAATCGCTTAGGAGAATGGTCTCTCCAGGTTCATCCAGATTGTTGCAAAAAGTATTAATTTTTTTTTTATGGCTAAGTATTCCATGATATACATATATCACATTTTCTTAGTCCACTCCTGAATTGATGGGCACTCAGGTTGATTCCACATCTCTGTGACTGTGCATTGTACTGCAATGAACATTCTAGTGCAAGTGTCTTTTTGATAAAATGATTTTTTTTCTCTGGGTGGCTACCCGGTAGTGGGACTGCTGGATCAAATGGTAGGTCTACTCTTGGTTCTTTGTGGATTCTCCATGATGCTTTTTTTAAATCACCTCTTTTCAGAGGCTTCATACAAGCAAGCAAAGATCCACAAAAATATGCATGACTTAGAGGGGGAGCAGGGCCGCAACCGTGTCGGGCCACAGGCAGGTGAGCAGAGAATCGTCACTGGTGGGGATTTATGGAGGTCTGAGCCCACGTCATCAGCACCCAGAAGATCTGGCAGAATTGGCTGCATGAACACTGCCACTGCCACTGTGCCAGGCAAGGCCAGGCAAGGCTAGAGAGAGAGGCAGACCAGCCCCCCCCCCAAAGAGGAGGTGTGAGAGGTGAGGCTGAGGCCAGAGAAAGCCTGAGGGAGGCCATTTCAGATGAACCATCTCAGGGTGCCAGCCAGGATGGCTTTGTGTCTTTGGACGCACCGTCCCTTGCATCATTTCCTAAGTGCAGTTCTGATTCAGGCCTTTGGGATATTTATCAGGCTGTGATCAAAAGCACAGTCATTTCTCAAATATGGCTCCAAGGAAAGCACATACAACATTCAGAGCCAGCCTTGCTGGGAAGGAAGAGCTTCTAGTCCAAAACGGCATCTTTTCCTACTCTCTGATGTCTGTGATGCTTTAGTGGTACCGACTCATGAAGGCAGAGGAGAAGGCCAAAGCTTGCAGCAGAGGCGAGTGTGTCCCATGAGTCTGCTGTGTTCTTGGGAGCTGCCCCTTCACTGCTGCTCCACAGGGTCCCAGACAGGCTGGGCCTGGGATGTTGAGATTTAATAGCTGCTCAGGGATGACCCATCAGCTGGGAATGGGTCATCTGAGAGGAACAGAGGGGAGACCAGGAGGAACAGAGGCTGAGAAGCCCACAGTGCTATGGAGTGGGCACCCTTGTCCAGC